AGGGTTTGCTAAGTATAGATAAAATTATTCAGAAAAAGTAGGTTTTACACTCTGGGTAATATTTGTTTTTTACCTAGGGAGCAAAACTTGAAAAGAGAGGCCCAAAAATTTGATGACTCTTTTAATTTTTTTATAACATACTCTCTCCTTATTTGAGTGTATATAAAGCTTAGGGTTTTACTATAGTGCCATCCTTGAATATCACTTTAAACCCCATTCAGTACAAGAATACTTTTAAAATTCACACATACCTTTCTTTTTGGAGTAGATTAACACATTTATTAAATCTTATTTTACCAGGATGTGCACACTGCAAAGCTTCATCTTACTTACACTGCAGTAGTGGTGGCAGTCCTTCATTCTGAGAAATGTATTGCAAATTGGTTACATACATAAAAGCAAATGAAGTTGGTTTAGAAATAAATTTTTTTATGTTGGAGAGAAATTTGCTTTAGGTGTATGAATACTGGTGGAGCAGGGAGTTTGGCACACACTTGATATGAAAGACAACAAAGGATAAGGATAGCTTTTTAAATATTGGCTCACATAGTTCCTCTAAAAAAAAGCATAATGTTTATTTCCTTCTTCCCATTTACTGTAAATTGTTGTCTCTAGGTTCCTAAAATAATGGGCTTGTATTTCATTTAATCTTAGATCAGCTGTATGCTTTCTGGTAATCAGCTTGGTATTTAAAGTCAGGACTGTGTTAAGAAATCAAATGTGCATAAAACATGCTCTTAAACAAGAAAATCAATGGATGGCATAAAATCACTGCAAACCAGGGGATCTGTTTTCAGTATGAGGCATTAATTGTTGATAGTCTGACAAATGCTTACTTGAACACTTTGATTTAATGTAGGATAGTACTGGTATGAAGCTGTGGAAGAAACGATGGTTTGTGCTTTCTGATCTGTGCCTCTTCTATTACAGAGGTAAGTTTTCTTTAGAAAGGTTTGTTTTTGTTTTACTTTGGAAACAGGAAAATCTTAGTGTCTTTAAAAAAAAAAAAAAAAGTTTGTAAGAATTGTTGACATAAACTGTTCTTCCCCCACCCTTCTGTCCCCTGCCCACTACAATTGAGCCTTTAAAATAAAGCTAATCCTGTCTTCTAATTGGTGAAAGGGTGCAAAGAGCTGTTGGTTAACTTGACATGTAAAATCAGCACACTAGTAGAACTAGCTGCACCTCCCAGGTCAAAACCAACTGCTGACATTGTGTGTTTGTCTGGCTATGCCAGAAGGAGGACAGGAGGCACTGGATGTGGTTTAATTAGGCTGCAGCTTTATTGTTAAATATCTGGGAGTATGTGGCAGATAGACTAGTACAGTGCAAGTAATTCCATAACCCTTGCCATATACTCGGGGACTGTCCCCTTACCCATGCTGGTCCCAGCCAATCCACTGTTGGGACCCAGCCACCCCCCTCATATGAGGGTTGTGCGGGGGAAGGCTATAACGAAGGGGGTTGACCCCCCCCCCACTATACCAGTTGTAGGAACCCCAAATCCCCTTTCTCTGCTCTTTTTTAAATTCTTTACCAGTCCATTTTATGAGATCAACATATCCATTCCCTGTGGAGTACCTGCACTGGACATCCACCACAAGCTTGCCTGGTCCAGATAAAAGGGGGCTTTTCTGGCACAGCTCTCAGTATAAATACCCCCCCCCCCAACTGGGGGGGGGGGGGAGTGAGGGCAAATCACCATGCTGACTTGGTCTGCCTTTCCTTGCTTCCTATGTGGAGTAGGAAAACCTTTGGGGGAGGGGGTCTTAAAGGGGCGATGACCACTCTTCTACCAGCCCAGCCACACTTGCAATTAAAAGGGTAATTTCTCTTCTCTGTTAAAACAAAGGGCCGCACCCTTTAATGTGTACTGGGGGAATTCTTCCTTTCTTATTTGTTTGTCTCAAAGACTTCTTTGCCAGGCAGAGCAAAATATTGTGTAAATAATTGACGCCTCTAATATTTCACCACCTTGCTGTCAGTTTTTTTAAAATTTATTATGTTAGTGAGTAGATATGCCAAGGTAAATTTGACTTCAACTGCAAAAATGATAAACTGATTATGGGGAAGTTGACTCCTAGAGACAGATAGGGAGGGCAAAAACAGTGATGCTTGTGATGATGGAGAGGGGCGGGGCAAAAGACATTTCTCCGATCTACCCAGCTCTCTTGGATACTCATCAGGTGTCTGAAATGATAGAAATGTCATATGTGGTGTTCCCAATCTCCACTTTTGATGCTGTTGGTGAAACTGGGAGCAGTGGGTGATGAAACAAAAATACCATGACACACAATTAATCTCTCATGAGAGAGGAGGTGCAAACCATAATTTAGATATTCAAAGCTAATCAGTAGTTTTGGACTTTGGCAGAGGTGTATGGCATTTTCAATTTATTTTGAAGAATCATAGAATATCAGGGTTGGAAGGGACCTCAGGAGGTCATCTAGTCCAACCCCCTGCTCAAAGCAGGACCAATCCCCAACTAAATCATCCCAGCCGGGGCTTTGTCAAGCCTGACCTTAAAAACCTCTAAGGAAGGAGATTCCACCACCTCCCTAGGTAACCCATTGCAGTGCTTCACCACCCTCCTAGTGAAAAAGTTTTTCCTAATATCCAACCTAAACCTCCCCAACTGCAACTTGAGACCATTACTCCTTGTTCTGTCATCAGGTACCACTGAGAACAGTTTAGATCCATCCTCTTTGGAACCCCCTTTCAGGTAGTTGAAAGCAGCTATCAAATCCCCCCTCATTCTTCTCTTCTGCAGACTAAATAATCCCAGTTCCCTGAGCCTCTCCTCATAAGTCATGTGCTCCAGCCCCCTCATCATTTTTGTTGCCCTCCGCTGGACTCTTTCCAATTTTTCCACATCCTTCTTGTAGTATGGGGCCCAAAACTGGACACAGTACTCCAGATGAGGCCTCACCTATGCCAAATAGAGGGGAATGATCACGTCCCTCGATCTGCTGGCAGTGCTCCTACTTATACAGCCCAAAATGCCGTTAGCCTAGTAAACAGTGAAAATGATTGTACTTGTTTGAAAAATGTGCAGCACATTTCTATGCTAATCAAGGTAAACTAAGTCTCAAAGCAGAAAAGCTTTCCTTGTAATTCTGGTTAGTTCAAATTCTGAATTATTGGAATGCAGTCATCATGCTTGCAGTCAGCACTTGAAAGATTACATGTTGTTGGATAAACCACTGCTGAGTCAAAATTAGTCTACTCAGTAGGACTGTAATTTAGACATGGAGACATTGGTTGAGCTTCAGTTATTTTATTTAGTTAAATGGCCAGTGCATATTTTGTGGTTTTCCTGGTAACGTTTGCCTACTTTTAGGAAGTCCTTTAAGGGTATGTCTGCACAGCCCATGGAAGTTTCATTTGTTTAATATTGTAGGTTGGTTGAATCTCTGATTTATGTTTTTCTCCCTAATGCAACGGAGAGCTTGTTTTGTTTTGTTTTTGGAACCTAAAAGTCTAAGGGTATGTCTACCCAGCTTGCAGCAGCAAGCCTCCCAGCCCAGATCAATAGACTTTGGCTAGCTGGGCTCACACTAGCACTCTTAAGAATAGCTGTGTAGATGATACTTTAAAGTCGTAGCTTGAGCTCTGAAGCATATGGAGCTGTCCATTCAGCTATTAAACATAAATAAAACTATGTGTTCAGAGGTCTGTTTCCAATTTCCCATTTGTTCTATGCTTGATTAAGGTGTTAATCGTAGGCTAGATAAGAGATACGGAAATAAAAGCAGAGTTGTCTAATCTGTATAAAGTAAGAAGCTGAAGTTTCAGACAGCTATTTTAGCTATCGTTTCATTACTGAGACATATTTAAATCAAAAAGTGTTTCAACAATGGTTTACAGTTACTAGAAATGGTTATTAAAACAAAACAAGCAGACAAATTCTAAACCCTATCCTTTTGAAGTTGTTTATGCTAGGTTAATGCTATCTCGTTCAGGGACTTAGATGAAAAGGGGGAAATGTGCACTTGCTCTTCAATTGCAAACAATATTTCTGGTTGTCTATCTGACTGTAACACCAGTTTTAAAAGTTTGATAAGGTTTAGTCCAAAATTTTACCATGTTAAAATCCAATGCGAAGTCTTGATTTAAGGGTAGAAAGAAAACTGATTTCATTGTAATTTTTAAATGCTTAGAGTATTATGTTTATCTGTTTTCACTGGGGAATAAGACTGACTGCTTTCACATAGAAAAGATATTGCTTGCAACAACAAAAAATCGTATAGAACAGCATAAGAAGATCCTCTCCTATTTGCCCTCTCTGGGGCGCCCAGACATGGTACACTGTCAGGGCAGTGAGTGGGAGCCAGCCCCCAAACCACCTATAGCCTTCCATGACTCCAGCTTCATCTTCTCCTTGCTATGGGGCAGCTAGGGGCTGGCTCCCATGACATATAGCTAAAATGTCAGATTTGCACTACTCGGTGCTTTTGTAGTATAAATCTAAAATTCTGTAGAAACTTTAAATAGTTCAGGATATGGCAAAATGTATGATTTGTAGTGTCTATATTGTAGGTCTTCAATTCAGTTAAAATGCTAGAGAAAGAGTGTAAATATATTAAGGAGCATAAACTGTTGTCATGTGGGATTTAAAACATTCAATATGCCCGACTTCAGTCAATAATTGGAAAGGATGTGCAAATTGGCTCAGAGGCCAACATTTTTAAAAACTATTTTGAAATCTTTCTGCTCTCTCATGTATTAGCAAGTTGTACTGAATAAACAGTGGGATGCAAGTGGTTCTTTTGTCACTGTCTTTTGCCTTACACTTTCTCAAAGATGAGGAGCGGGAGGTAGTATATTTTATTGGACCAACTTCTTCTGGTGAAAGTGACAAGCTTTTGAACTACACAGAGCTCATCTTCAGGTGTACTACTTCCACACCTTTTTCAGTCATTTACATGTGTGCAAAGTGATGCAAAAGACAATTATTCTGATTGGGAAGCATTTTACACTTACTGTGCACTTTAGGCCTTGATCTGCAAAAGATCTATGCACATGAGTAAGTCTCATTGTCATCACTGAGATTACTCATAGGCGGCATGTATAAGAGGCTTGGGGAGATTTAGCCTCCCCCATAATGGCTGGCCATGCAGGGGGCAAGAAATACTGGCTGCGGCGCAGATCACCTCCCTTTGGAGGTACGCTGGCCAAGTACCCTTGGAGCACCACCACCAGAAGCTCCCTAGAAGTGGGGAATCCACTGGTACCTGCATTGACCCCGCCCTCGCTCTGCCTCTTCTCTCTGAGGCGCCCTGCCCTCTCTTGCCTTTAAGGCATGAAAAAAGTGGGTGGGTATAGCCCTCCCACTTTTAAAAGTGACAAGCACACACTCCTGCCAGCGTCCCTTAGCTGAGTTGCTCTGGCATGAGCATGCACAACCTCTCACTGACTGGCCCAGCTATAGGACGACGACTCCTGCTGTGCATGCTAATGCTGGAGCAACTCAGCTAAGGGGTGCAGGAATGGAGGGCAGGTGGGGGCCATGCTCCCATCACTTTTATGGATCTTCCACCGCTTCTGTAAACCTCCCCAAACGAAAGTCATGTGACATCTGTGGGATTACTCAGTTGCATAAACCTTTGCAGGCTCAGGGCTTGACTTCACAGTTCTAAAAAAGAAAAATAGACAACTAAAAAAAATCGGTTCCCTTCCTTGTTCTGCACCTTTTAATGTGATATTTAGGCATTCACATTTATTCTGTGGGTTGTTGATATAGTGCAGGGCTCGGCAACCTTTGGCACGAGGTTCGCCAGGGTAAGCACTCTGGCGGGCCGGGCCGGTTTGTTTACCTGCCATGTCGGCAGGTTCGGCCGATCGCGGCTCCCACTGGCCGCAGTTCGCTGCTCCAGGCTAAATGGGGGCTGCGGGAAGCAGCACGGGACGAGGGATGTGCTGGCCACCCTTCCTGCAGCCCCCATTGGCCTGGAGCGGTGAACCGCAGCCAGTGGGAGCCACGATCGGCCGAACCTGCCGATGCGGCAGGTAAACAAACTGGCCTGGCCCACCAGAGTGCTTACCCTGGTGAACCACGTGCCAAAGGTTGCCGATCCCTGGTATAGTGAAATACTCTCATTATATTAAAATCTTTATCCCCAAAGTAGTAATATGAAGAAGTTAACCTTGCCTATTGTGAAAAGATTTATATTTGTACATTAATGGCATAGCTCTTCTATTATAGTTTGCTTTGTAGGCTGCGTGCTCAGTTTGGAAAAATGCTATCATTGTGCTTCATAGCTGTCATTAGAGTCAGGCATCCAGTACACTTTATGAACAAATTGTGTCATCTGTGGAAGTGTATCTTAAGGTATATTAAGGCTAGACATGCACTGTCTGTGAAATACAACATTCACCCAGTAATTTCTGAGTTGCAGATTCTTTGGCTTTCATGTTTCTCCAGTAGTCACAATGTGTCTCTACTGGGGGGGCGTTATTAGTGACTCCTTAGTTAAGCTTATGTTGAGAGATTCAGTTAAAGCAGGATTAAAAATCCTATTTTCCACTTCAGTGATGGAATTTAGTATCTGATGCAAGTCTTTAGAGGACAATTGAATTTTCCATAATATTTGATTAGTAAAATATTTATGGTTTTCATGGGAAACATTTTAAAATGAACCTCCTGTGGCTATCCAGACAGGAGCCTTAGTCTGACTATCTAACTTTAGCAAGGTTGCTGGGGCACTCACTCCTGTGGCATTATATCCCAGAGAGGCTGAGTGAGGACATGAATGTGGGGCACAATGTGGAGGTGGAAGAATTGACAGTGGGACTGCCTGCCAACCCCTTAGTATCACCCACTCCCAGACCCCTGCCTAACCCAGTTCCCAGGCTGGCCCCAATGCCCGATCTAGCTGTTTGGTTCCAAATCCACATTCTTTCTCTTTCTCTCCCCTCAGTAACTTCCTTACCACTGTCCTGTGCCATGAAAAAGCTTATAAGTTAAACAATCAATCTAGTATCAAACTTCCTTAGTACTGTCCTGTGCCATGAAAAGCTTGTGTTAAACAATCAATCTAGTATCAAAGTAAAATACTCCTGGTGTTCTCTCTGGATACTGGCCATCTACTGAAATCCATCCTCAAACACTGAATACAGTCAAATTCTCAGATTTTCAATAAATGAAAAACATATCCAGGGGAAAGGGAGTCTAAATGTATGTACTCTGTGTATAAAACTATTCTAATCAAATATTATATTTTAGATGAAAAAGAAGAGGGAATATTGGGGAGCATACTTCTACCTAGTTTTCAGATATTGATGCTTTCTTCTGAGGATCATATTAATCGCAAATATGCTTTTAAGGTGAGGGCATTCATTTTCAGTTTAAACAAATATAGAGTGCAGAACACTTTTTTCACTGTGTCTTTATGCAAGATAGGATAGACAAACTGCCTCTGAGAGTGATTATGCATAATACTATATGCAGATGATCCAAACAATGTAGTCTAATATGCAAATGAATTTGTTGTAGATATAGACAGATAATTGCTAAACTTGATGAAGGAGCTAACCAGGCATATTTCATCATTTTGCAGCTCCTTTATTTTTAATTCACATCTCTTAATAAGCACACCTTGGTGGCTTGGAATTGCAGTCTCCATACAGGGCTAGTCTATATCTACATGGCCCTGCAGTTTCAGCTGCAGGAGTGTGAATCACAGCATGCACTAGCGTGCTGCACTGTAATTCCCCTGTGTGGACACTGTGGGCATGAACTAAAAGGTCCCTTGTTGGTGTTAACTTAGTCCTGATTAAAGAGGATTAAGTTAATGCCAACTAAGGCTATGTCTACACTAGAGACCTTACAGCAGCACAGCTGTACTGATGCAGCTGCACTACTGTAAGATCTCTCGAGTAGCCACTCTATGTTGACAGGAGAGAGCTTTCCCATTGACATAATTAAAACATCCTCAACAAGCGGTAGTAATTATGTCAGTGGGAGAAGCTCTCCCACCAACATAGCGCTGTGCATACTACCACTTAATGCCAGCGAAACTTATGTTGCTTAAGGGTGGGTTTTTTCCCACCCCTGAGTGACATAAGTTTTGCTGACATAAGTGGTAGCGTAGACATGGCCTTAAGTACCTTTTACTTCACATCTGCAGCATTCACATGGGGGAGTTGCATTTCAGCACACTAGTATGTGCTGCCTTTTTAACCCCCTTAGTCTGAAATGCGGGGCTGCATATATAAGCCCTAAGATGTATTTTCCTCTATTGTGCACATTATGTTTATGAAACTGGGATTGCTAATTAGTGCACATCATGCTGTCTCTCTTTTTAATTTTGGGAAAAAACACTTAAGGCATTTACTATGATGTGAATGGATAAAAGAAAAAAAATTGAGTTTAGCGCTTACCTCTCAGTATTAGACAAACTATTTTGTGTTTAAATATTTATTTTAGTTGGTATATTCTTTAATCATGAGTCAAGTAATCACTTGCATATTCTCTCCTAACATGGAATTTCATTTCTTGGCTTTGAGTTCCTTTTTGGCTGTCCTTAATGACTGTTGAGCTGTACACCACTGAAAGTTACAATGGTGAGTACAAATTAAAACTTACTGAATTGTTCAGGCTGCAGAAAATGAATAATTTAATATTTATATTAAGTTAATGTTTTATGAACATCGGTATAGGATTTTTGATAGCAGAAAAATATAAATCATTTCAGCAGGGTACATTCACAGAGAAGCAACAATTAAACTTTCAAGCTAATTCTTTTATTAATCTAATTGCACTGAAAAAAAGCATAACTGAATGATATTGTACAAAATGTTTTCTATAAATTATTTGTAGTGTTTTCATAAATCTAACAACAATGGAGGAAGAAAACAATAACATAATTTGCCTTTTTTTTTTTCTTTTACAGAAATCTTGTCTTTTTATTACAATGACCTTGTCATGTCCAATCAGGCAGCTCATCCAAACATGAGGACCTATTATTTCTGCACAGATACAGGGAAGGAAATGGAGCTATGGATGAAAGCCATGATAGATGCAGCACTTGTACAGACAGAACCCGTGAAAAGGTAATGCAGTTTGGCAAACCAGTAGAACAAGGAGTTAATTTCCAATCGTGGGTTTGAGTTTGTTTACTTAAAATGTAAAGTAATTCAGCTGTGCTTCAGCCCCACCAGTGATAGCAATGATGAGAGCACTTATGGGGTATGTCTTCACTGCAATTAGATACCCGTAGCTGGCCCATGCTAGCTGACTCAGGCTCAGGGGCTATTTAGTTGTGGTGTAGACATTTGGACTTGCACTGCAGCTCAAGCTCTGGGACCCTGCCACCTCACAGGATCCTAGATCCCAGGCTTCACCACGAGCCTGAACATCTACACCACAATTAAACAGCCCCTTAGCCTGGTCCCTGCTAGCCTGAGTCAGCTGGCATGCGTCAGCCACAGGTTTTTAATTGCAGTGTAGACATACCCATGCTTGTTGAGAATTTAAAGCCTCTAACCTTCCTCAGAATGACATGGTAGTTAAAATACTAATGGCAGCTAGCAGCTTTTTTACATTTTGTGCGCCCATTGTTGCTACTGTCATTTGATCTGAACCGCTGGTAGTAATGGTGGTACATTTCAAAAGGAAAAAAAATTCCTATGAACGTGGACACAATGAAGAAAAAAGGGCAAAAAGGTGCGAAATCAAGCCCACCTCACAATTTGTAAAGCTCAAGAAAAACATTTGCACACTACACACTGTATGTGATAAACTCATTCCTGTTTCATGATTCTAGTGTCCTTGCTTCAGGCAGTATGCTGATAAAAATAGAAAGTCCATAAGGAATGTTCGGACCAGTACTGCTTTAGGCTCAATGCTAACAGTGTTTTGTAGCTATATGCATCTAACCTGTAGTATTTTGAGAGCTTCTCCATTACAAGTGTTCTCACTGACCCTTTTACTTCTGCCTAGTGTTCAGAGACTTAGAGGGATGATAGTCTGACTAACAAAAACTCAGAAGATACTTAGATTTAATATTAAATGTAAGTTAAACAGAAAAAAATCAGAATTTTTAGCTTTAATCCCAGCTAAAATCCCTGAAGAGCACATTAGTTAATATTGGCGTGTGGTTTTTTCCATCATCTTGAAGACCGATTATTAAAATAGAGTAATTTTTTCATTAATCTATGTGTGCCTAGCTCTTTTCGTCTAGGGGTCTAAAAACAAATTACAGATTATTAAGCCTCCCAGTGCGTCTCTGTGAGATAGAGTATGGTAGGATACCTATCCATTGTATATCTGGGTAAACTGAATCCCAGAAGTTAAATGCCTTGCCTATAAAATCAATCTCTCTCTCTCTCCCCCCCGTCCCCTCCCCCCACCTGCCTGCATATAGTAGTCAGAAGTCTTGCTCCTCTGTAGCACTTACAGGGGTTCTTAAAGGTTTTCATAGCACAGGCTACATCTGAGAGTGGTTGTTTCATAGTCCACCTCCTGCCCCATTCATGATAACCTATCTCAGAAATTTGACCTCCTTTTTCGCGTGATTGCTCATGTGTATTCCACAATAGGTGTGCGTGCATGCCACGTGCACCGGTGCCGGAAGTTTTCCCCCTTAGCAGTACCTTTAGGGGAGCACCCCTGGAGTGGCGCTGCCATGGTGCGGTATAAGGGGCGCTGCGTGCTTCCCCCACCCTCAGTTCCTTCTTGCCACCAGTGAAGGTGCTTCGGAACTGCTCTGCTCCAGCTCTGCTGTAGCTTTCCCTCTTGGCCTCTGTTAATTCGTAGTTGGTAGTGCCTATAGTTTATTTAATAAAAAAAAAAAAAAAGTTTTAGTTAGACTTAGTTAAGTGCGCCTGGGTCGGGGCATGCCCCGGGCTTTAAGTCATGCAAACGGCCTATGCCCGTGAGTGATCCGTGCGTGGACTGTTTACGCTGTGTGGGGGGAACCCATCTCAGCTACCGCTGCAAGATTTGCAGATCCTTCAAACCTCAGACCAAGAAGGATCGGGACATTCAGCTCCGAGCCATTTTGATGGAGTTGGCCCTGACCCCGACACTGCTCCGAGTTGGCACTGAGCACCGTGGCATCAGTGCACAGCGACCCAGAGGTGCCCTCCACCAGTCGGCACCACTCCCCGTCCACGAGACACTCTAAAAAGGTGAAGAAGAGGTCTTCACCACCAAGGCACCGGAGCAAGACTGGGAGAGAGACTAGACCCGCATTGGGCAGCTCTCAGTCCCCATCAGCCTTGTGGCCTTCAACTCAAGTTGAGCCGAGTAGCCCGGCCCACTCCGAGCCAACCTCCCCAGACACCAGTGGCCACATTTGGGTGCCCTCCACACCGGAGGCCCTGCAGGTGGCTTGAGACGTTATGTCTCTACCAGTATCACCGTCGTTGTCGGCTCCCCGGTCCAGAGGTAAGCCACTGCTCGGATCCCCGCAGTCACCGCCTGGACGGTACCGCTTACGGTTAAGGGAAGGTTCCCGACGCCGTTCCCCGCTCAGTGACTGCCCCGTGCGCAGTCCCCGCCGGTCCCCATCGACCCCCACCAGGTTATCTGGCTGGGTACCAACCAGCAGGGGTTCCAGGCACCACTCCGCGTCAAGGGAACGTAAACCTCGCCAGGAGAGCGTGCCCCGCCAAGACCAGGACAGACGGCACCGGAGGTCGTTGTCTCCGAGCAGGTACTGTAGCCCCTTGCGGTATGGACATCATCACCGTTCCCATTCCTGGTCTCGCTCGAGGTCCCCACCGCGACACCGCTCCCGCAGTCCCAGGCATCGATCACTGGCACCTCGCTGTCACGGATCCACACGTCGGAGCCGGTCACGGAACAGCCGCTACCGGCAGTACTACTCTTCCACACCGCGATCATGGTCACACGTTCAGCACCGCTCCTGATGCCGCCACTCGTCCCAGTCCTGGGATAGCGGTCGATCGTATGCCAGCCCAGCCTCCCTTCGGAGTCATCAGTCGATGGGCAAGGCTACTCAGGCTGGACAGCCCGCTCCGCCAGTGCCACAGCAGGTGCAGTGGCACCGGGCTCCCAGACCAGTGCCATGGTACCAATGGGCCCCGTGGGCCCCGACGCAGCCCCTGGTGGTGGCTCACTCGGTGGCTGGAGCCTCGGAAAGACCGTCTGCCTCCCTCTCTCGGCCTCCCAGAAAGGAGTCAGTGGAGTGCTCATCCCTGGTCCCGCACTCAGAAGTGGTGAGACCTGTGGCACCAGTGGGGACGCAGAGTACTGCATCCTCATCCTCATCCTCTCCAGATGAGGCGATCACGGCCCCTCCTCCACCAGTCCCGCAGGAGGACACGAAAGCCCACCAAGAGCTGTTGAAAAGGGTGGCATCAAGCCTCAACCTACAAGCTGAGGAGGTGGAGGAACCCTCGGACTCCCTCTTCAACGTCCTCTCGGCACTGGCCAGGGTGTCTCTCCCACTCCATGAAGGAGTAGCAAAGATCTCAGATCTCAAATGCCTTGTTGCACACCCCAGGTTCCTTGCCCCCCATTTCTAAGAGGGCAGAACGGAAGTATTTTGTGCCCACCAAGGGGCATGAGTACCTGTATATCCATCCTGCCCCCAACTCTCTAGTGGTCAGGTTGGTCAACCATAAGGAGCAGCAATGTCAACTCGCTCCTACTCCTAAAAATAAGGACTCGAGGAGACTAGATCTATTTGGTAGAAAGATTTATTCATCCTCAAGCTTCCAACTGAGGGTTGCGAATAACGAAGCCCTGTTGGGTAGATACGATTTCAGTTTGTGGCGCTCCCTGCCCAAATTTGCAGACTCCCTCCAGGAGCGTGTTAAGAAAGAGTTCAAGGCTCTGGTTGAGAAGGGCATGGCTGCCGCCAGGGCGATCCTTCAGGTAGCCTCGAATGACGCGGATATGGCTGCAAGGTCTATGGCCTCCGCGGTGTCCATGAGGAGAGCATCGTGGCTCCTTCTGTGCCTCGCTGGACAACCCAGACAGAACTCCTTACAGGACCTTCCGTTTGATGGCAAGGCCCTGTTTGCGGAACAAACCGACGTGAAGTTACACAGTCTGAAGGACTCTCGCATGACATTAAAGACCCTTGGCCTCTATGTCCTGGTCCTGGCCAGGACCAAGTTCAAACCACAGCAGGCTCCCACTTAGGCCACCCACTCCAGATATCAGCCCCCTTATAAAAAGTCAAGGGACTATAAAAAGCACCCACAAAGGCAGTCACGGCCTGCGCCCCAGCCTGGGCCCTCTAAGGGTAAACAGGCGGGAAAGCTCCAGTTTTGACGGGATGCCCAGAGGCAACTTGCCAAGGATCCACCCACAATAAAACTTCCTTTCTCCAACCGGTTGTGTGCTTTTTTCCCAGAGTGGTCGCAGCTGACCTCGGACCAATGGGTCCTCAACACTGTCTCCCGGGGCTATACCCTCCAGTTTATTTCTACCCCACCCACCTACCCTCCATCCCCGTCCCTCTTCAGGGACCCCTCTCACAAGAGCCTACTCGAGCAAGAGGTGAGGCGATTCCTTGGCTTACGAGCGGTGGAGGTGGTGCCAGTGGAGTTCAGATGCAAGGGGTTCTACTCCCGCTATTTCCTTATCCCAAAGGCCAAAGGGGGGCTCAGGCCCATCCTGGACCTGCGAGGCCTGAACCAGTACATGGTAAAGCTCAAGTTTCGCATGGTCTCTCTGGCCTCCATCATCCCCTCCCTGGCACTGGTATGCCGCCCTAGATCTACAGGATGCGTACTTCCACATTCATATATTCGAGGGACACAGGCATTTCCTCCGCTTCACAGTTGGGCAGGAGCACTGCCAGTTCACTGTCCTCCCGTTTGGCCTATCCACAGCTCCCAGGTTCTTCACAAAGTGTATGTCTGTGGTAGCAGACTACCTCAGACATCGGGGTGTCCAGATCTTTCCCTACCTCGATGACTGGCTGGTCAAGGGCAGCTCCAGGTAGCAGGTACAGGATCACATAACACTCCTCCTGTCCACATGCACCACACTGGGCCTGTTGGTAAATGACACCAAGTCCACGTTGGTTCCAGTGCAGTGCATAGAGTTCATTGGGGCAATTCTGGACGCAACG